GATCGAAAAGTGATATGTACTCTACATATATAATAATTAATTAATTAAAGAAAAAATTATATAAGCAAGTAATAGCGCGACAGTTAGAGCTAACTAATATACCAAATGTCTGATGCATACCCAGAATATATAGAAGAATTTAGTATAGAGATATTTGATTTCAATCCGATTGGCCCTACTGCCCATATACCTTTACCTGAAACTTTGCCAAAACGTAATAATGGAATTATAAATATTCAAAATGATGATGACTGGTGTTTCGGCTGGAGTGTCCTAGGAGCTTTGCATCCGGTTAAAGTTCATCCAGAGAGAAATCCACATTGGCTATATGGAGGTTTTGTAGAAGAACTTAACATGAATGACATTCCAGTTCCGGTACCTGTCTCAACACCAGTTTATAAAAAGTTCAAAGAAAATAACCCTGAAATCAGTCTATATATCTATGAATAGCACAACCAGAATAAGTGTCTTGAATTTCGCTATGTTACAGAATGAAGAGGGAATGAATACAAGCAAGTAAATCTTTTAGTAATTACGGAAGATGATAGAAGCCATTACTGTATTATCAAAGATTTACATAAGCTAGTATACAATCATAGCAAACATAAAGGGCGAAAATACCTCTGCCGTTATTGTCTTCATGTATACTCTTCAGAGATAAGATACAATGAACATTTGCCAAAATGCAAGGGTCTAAATAATGCCCCCAGCGACCACAAATGCCAGTTAAGAATAAGAGTATCAAAGCTTTTTATAACCATAAATGCATGCAACCAAATCCATATCGCATTTTCTGGGATCTAGAAATGCTAACCGAAAAGTTAAACCCAGAAGAGAAGACGAAGTTAACCCATACTGAAAGATTACAGATGCACAAGCCGTGTGGCTATTGCTATGTAGTTGTTCGTATGGATAGTTCACTTAACTATGAAATCATAAGTCATGATTTATATAGGGGTCCAGATGCGCTTGAAAGATTCGTTGTAAAAATTGAGGAGGAGCTGGCAAACATACAGGAGGACTTATCTGCGCCTGCAGAAATAATAATGTCACCAGGAGATCTTAAAGCATACAATGAGGCAACAGAATGCTGGATTTGCAAGGGACCTTTCTTAAAACCAGCACCAGAAGTAATACAAAAACTCGAAGAAGCAAAGCATAATTTATTAGAAATCAAAGAATGGGAATCATGCATGGAAAAGGAACATTCTAAAAAGAAAGAGGCACAGAAAAAATACTGAGAAGCTTTAAGTGCACTTAATCGAAAAGTAAAAGATCATGATCATATAAATGGAAACTACCGAGGACCAGCTTATGACTCATGTAATAAAAAGTTACGCATAGGCTTTTTCGAAACCAAAGTACCACTTATCTGTTATAATTTTCGGGGGTATGACTCTCATCCGCTCATGAAAGTTGTTTCAAAATTTACGGCTGATAAGCTAAATTGTATCCCTGAGAATATAGGAAAGTACAAAGCCATAGACGTAGGACAGTTTCGGTTCTTAGATAGCTTTCAGCACATGGGAATGGGGCTAGATAAATTAGTTAAATGTCTAGGTGGAGAAATCGAAAAATTCCCTCTAACTATTAACTATTTTACTGAGAAAGGCTATTTAATGGACAAGATTAAGCTTCTTTTTCGAAAGGGAGTCTTTCCGTATGACTGGACAAATGCATGGGAAAAATTTGATAAAACAAGCCTTCCGTCTAGAAAGGACTTCTATTCACTTCTTAGTCAGCAAAATATTAGTAAAGAGGATTACGAACATGCTAAAAAGGTATGGCAAGTATTTGAGATGAAAAACTTTGGAGAATATCATGACTTATATCTTGAAATGGACGTACTTTTGCTTGCGGATATTTTCATGAATTATATCATAATGTGTCTCAAAGATGATGGCCTAGATCCATCTCATTATGTCTCTGCACCTGGAATGTTTAATGATTCTTTATACAAAAGTAGCAGAGCAGAACTTAAGCTCATGACAGATAAGGATGAGTATCTGATGGTTGAAAATGGAATTCGTGGAGGAATGACAATGGCAAGTCATCGATATGCCAAATCAAATAATCTGCAATGTCCAGACTATGATCCTAGTAAACTGAAGTCTTGGACCTTATATGAGGATATGAATGCCTTATATTCAGAAGCAATGACCCAATACATGCCTACAGAAATTTTGGGTAAAGTGAGTCCAGAGGAAGTACCAGATATCCAAAGTATCGCGCCTGATGCAGAAATAGGCTATATGCTTGAACTTGATCTAGAAGCTCCAGTGCACTTGCACGATTACTTTGCAGATTATCCTTTAGCGTCAGAAAAGCAAATAATACCAGAAAACTGGCTTAGCCTATATAACAAAAGATTAGTAAATGATAAAGAAGTTGGAAATGGAAAATATGCATCAGGAGAGAAGTTGGTTCAGACTCTTTATCCTAAAAAGAACTACGTGGTCCATTATCGAGCTCTCCAGATATATATGAAGTTTGGAATGAAGGTTACAAAAATTCATAGCGCTTTCAAGTTTAGGCAGTCTCCATGGATGAAAGACTATATTGAGGAAAATATTCGCAAGCGTAAAATTGCTAAAGCTAATGTGGACGAGTTTGGGGTCATGTATTATAAGCTAAAGAATAATGCAGTATTTGGCAAACAAATGGAAAATGTTTGTAAACATATGAGAGTAGAATTACTCCGAACAGAAGAAGATAAAAAAATCAGACGCCTAGCAAGTTCACCATTGTATGTAGGCTTTAAAGCATTCGAAGGGGAATTACAGCAGTCCATATGTTAAAAAGTACAGTAACTCTAAACAAACCAATCTATGTAGGGCAAGCAATTCTTGATATTAGCAAGGCTATGATGTTCAACTTTTGGTACAGTTACATAAAGCCTCGCTATGGAGATAAGGCCCGTCTACTTTATACTGACACAGACTCGCTCATCATGTGGATAGAAACTGAAGACATATATAGAGATCGAGCAGAAAGACCAGATATTTTCGATCTTAACTATTCAGGAGACTTATTTCTAATGAAGGATGAGACAAAGGGAGGCCCAATAGGCGAATCAGTATGTTTAAAGCCAAAGATGTATTCAGTCCTTCCAGCAGGCCATGATCCTAAAACTCCCGATGATCCAGATTCTGAAGACCCTAAAAAGAAGCATGGCATCCAGAAGGCAAAGGGTGTTAAGAAATGCGTGGTTAAAAGGAAGCTTCGACATAATAAATTTCTAGAATGTCTTAAGAATAAGAAACTAACTCGGCATGATATGTATGGCCTCCAAAGTTACGATCATCAAATTTATCTTGAGAGAGTAAATAAGATAGGGCTGAATCCATATGATAACAAGCGCTGGATCTTACTTGATGGAATTCGAACTCTCCCATATAGACATTGGCGAATTAGACTATATAAACGCCTGGTAGCATCTGAAATAACTCCTGAGGAAGCAGAAGAAAGGGCTATGAAAGTTAGACTTCGTGTCAAGGAATAGATGCTTTATAACAAATATTTTTTCCGGGTAAAAAATTATCAAAGAATATAATTTTATTAATTAAAGTTTTTCTATCGTTATAGTAGAAACAATACAAAAATGGTTGATCATAAGGATATAGAACTTGCGCAAGTCAAAGTCATAAAAACTGCATTGCGAAAGGGCAAAAAATATGATAATCTTGCAAAAAACTATGGAGACTATCTAAAAAAACTGCGAGCTAAAAAGAATCCGAATGACTATATTAAGACCGTCGCAGTTAAGATGTTTCCTAACGAAGAGGCATATACTATAAGGCTAGAAAATTATCGAAATAGATATGCAGATGAAGATTTATATGTTAGTCTTGAGGAACTATATGCACTCTACTACCTTATAGCCAAGGAGGAAAATCGTGAAAGGTCAGATGATGAAATAGAACAGATACTCAAAGTGATGGCAATCTAGTCGTCTGTGGCATAAGTTCAGAAGATTTTCGTTGGGCCCTCATATACATGAGACTCAAATCGTCCACCATTTTCCTAATGCTATTCTTGAGATCACAATTGAGTGATTTATTTTTTAGCACAGGTAGAAAAATGTCAATATAAAATAAAAATCTATGAAGTGTATATTCTTTTTTCTTCACGATTGCCAGTAGATTGAGCGATCCTCTCATACTAAATAATTCGTGAATGAACGGATCGCCAAATCCGAAATTAGCTTAATAGAATCTGCAAATTAGTTTTGTTAGTCGTGAGAAATAAACTATATAAAAAAGCTAAGTATAAGTAATTTCGTTATTAAAAACTTATCTGGTAACTCATCATTATTATGTCTCTTACTAATCTTCAAAATCTCGCCTTGAATATTTTAAAAGAAACAAAACATAACATAGTACAAGA